GGAAGTTACCCCATCAGCGCGTGCGCAATTTACACTACCAGCGCACTTCGGTAAGATCAAACAAAGCCACGCGGACCTAGTTTTTCTCTTTCTATTGCTCTTGTTTTTCTGTCTTTTTTCTTATTTTGTCTTTGCTTGTACTTTTTTTACTTTGCATTTTGTGAAACACAAATAAAAACATCTAAAATGTAAGCGAATTTGGAAGTTATTGAGTTGTTATTTATTTTCCACGCTCAGGCTGACGTAAGTAACCGGAAGTGAAATTTCACCTCCTTAGCAACGCGCGCGAGCGCGCGCATAAATCGGTTAATGGGCCCTTAAGCAAATTTTTGATAAACACGCCTTGATTATTATTATGAATGCCCTAGTTTTTAGTAAATTATCCTATTGCTCTTCTGTTTGGAATAATACTACTCAAGCTAATTTGGACAAGCTCCAAGCAGTTCAGAATTTCTCTTGTCGCATTTTGTGCGGCGCTAAAAAATTCGATCACATAACTCCTTTGCTAAAAGACTTGCGTTGGCTACCAGTCAGGCAACAACTTTATTTCCGTTTTGCTGCTCTGGTTTTTAAGTGCTTGACGGGATGTGCACCAGAGTATTTGACATCTAAGCTCGTCATAAGATCTGCCGTCTCGACAAGGACTACCAGGAACTCTCAACTTTTGAACATACCACTCTTCCGCACTGCAAGCGGTCAAAGGACTTTTCAATATAGAGCGACCTCTCTGTGGACTGAGTTGCAGCCTGAACTTAAACTTTGACCATCCGTGACGGATTTCAAGCGCCTACTCAGGCGTAAGCTTCTTAATGACTGTTTTATTTAATTTTTATTCAACATTTCTCTTCTTTTTAAGTTATCATTGCTATGTGTTTGGCTTTCTGCGTTTTTAAATTTTTTAATGTAACATTGACTCTGAAAAGCCCCGTGGGAACGAGCCAATAAAGTATGTAGGTATGTATGTATGTAGGTAGGTAGGTAGGTAGGTAGGTAGGTAGGTAGGTATGTATGTATACTTTGACAATGTTATAATGAAATTCATGATCAATAACAGGACAGATTCGTGAAAAAATGACCTCAATTTACTAAATAGTACTCCGCCTCCCCCATTCCCCCTCCACAAGAAAGATTTTGACGCTACATACCTCCTGCTGCTAAATTACAAATTTGCGGCACTTCACTGCATTTAATGTCAGTTGTTCCTCTGCCTGTGTGTCCGCCGTTTTTTGCTACGTACTGCCGTGTTGATGTAAAGATGTCTACACCTATGCCAAAAGTTTAGCAATGATATAAAACTATTACTTCACGTTCTTACTTATACTAACCTGGCATATAAAGTGATGTTTTTGTGCAATCTTTACGAGCGGCTTCAAAAGTTCATTGTTACCTGTACTTTACAGTTCCGTACTCAGTGATGAGGCTTGCCCAGAGTTGACTTTGTTCTGACACAAACCCTTGCTACCTTCCAAACGTTATCCTCATCTCCATCAACATGAGCTAAACCATCGATAAACACAGTCCTTGCTTTTAAGAGGAGGTTCAAAAATGGTGATTCTGATGTAAATGGACTAATAGTATGACAAGGGCAGCAAAAATGTGCGATTGGAGATCAATTTGTGCTTTGAACGCAACATGAGGGGAAAGTAAGCGAGACAGAATTTTCTCCTCACGCTGATAGACTCCTCGCAGGAACTCCTCTTAACTCGTCTATATTGAGGACAATTTTGACGAAAGATTAAGGATTACGGGACCTTAGATATGCTGCTAGTACATTTCGTATCTCTATTTCAAGACAACCGAGGAAATTTTTCAGAGTTCAGAGTCAAAGATTCCGTTGGTGATGTGCGATATCCATTAATCAATTGTAATTCTGGGTAATAAAGCAAGGATTCTTTCTGCAATTGGGAAGTTACGTTGTTGACCTTCCCAAAAACCATGTCAGACTTACCAGGTGTGAAAGAGATCGTAATATTTACTGGTTGACCGGGCTTCAGCTCGGGCCATGGCGTAATTTTGTACTTAAGGGTTTTGTCTGGCGGTCCTGTAAAAGTATAAGAAGATTATCCTGTTAACTGCACAGGGAGTAAATACGAATGACTACAAAAAGATATTGAGTTCTTCACGGCTCGGCACATGTGTTAGCTACAACTTCATTATTTATAATACAATCAGAAACGTAAAGATGACTTGCGGGAAAATTTGCCTTTATGAATTTTGCAGTCAGTCACGAAAAAATAACGTAAAGGAGAGATTTCTTATTAGCAACCCTTTCGTATGTTCCAACTCCATACATAAAGTACATTTTCGTTTTGATATCTACCTCATGCGTTTCAGTAATCACAGACTGTACATTTGTAAGAGCAGAAGTAATGGCCTTCGGAGCAGCCACACGGCTACACTAAAGGTAGAAGAATGACAAATGCCCAATTTCATGGATGATGTACAAATTGATTATCTGGCCCGAGTGTGTTATTCTGGACCAGCCGGTCGCACAAGTTATCTACTCGCATCTGATTGTCTTCCAAGCAATGGAACTGGGTGAGATTCATCATAGCTTGCACATGCGTCGAATCGTAAAATTATCCCTTTCAGTGATTTTGGGGCAAAAATGAATTTTTTCCAAGGGTTGATCATTATTTGGACGTCGAGGTATCTTTAAAAAGGCTTTGTCATGTACTTTTAGTGTGCCTGAGGTCACGCATCAACAGTCGGGTACTCTTTGCATTTAAGTTTTTAATTACTTAATTTTTAATTTAGTAATTAACTATTTTTTAACTTAATTTTGTTTATTTTGACAACCCTGTCTGATTAAAACTGACCATAACTATAACTGATTCTCACCGCAATATTTCAGATACTTGAATTCAAATCCAACGGACAGCATACCACAGACTAAGAGGTAGATGAAAATCAGGTGCCGAGTGTTGAATGCCATTCCTCAACGAAGATAAGGATGCCTAACAACAAGACACAATCGTGATCAGCACAAGGGGACACCTATTTCAACATCTATTTCAAAATGTTTCAACATTATCCGAAAGTGGGGCCTTTCGTTACTTTGACAAACACAAAAATACAATTTGACGTAATCTATTGTCTATGAAAAATGAAACAAACTCCTTGGTTTTTATGCGTAGCAAAGAATTGCGATTGGATTGCCGCTGTCAAAGTTGAATCCGGCGTTGCTCGTCGTAGAATAAACGATTACAGCGATAGGAGAATCGAATCATGAAAACCGAAACTCTAAGAAAGTCAAGTCAGTCCTGTGTAGCTTAGCGAATTAAGAAATTTTTAAGCAATTTTAGAGGGCACGTCCACAAAGCGGCGAAGCTGCGAAGAACCGCCTGTCCCGATTACCTACACTTATTTTTATTGCCGCCACACTATTACAACTTTAGACAACCTGATGACAGGTTTTGTGGATCGTATTAAACCAGCCAATCAGTTGCTCGATCTCGGTTGTGGCGAAGGGCAATACGCCTAAAAAGCCTGTCAAGGAAGGAATCGAGAGAAGTGTAAATGAGAATTGTAGACTTTGTTGTCCGCTGTAAATCAAATTTGGAGAAATTAAGAAGACATACATTTCTACGCGATACCTTTTCAAGGTTTCTAAGCTTGATGGTTTTCAAATTACCACTTTGTCAGAAATCTGCTCGAAAATTAGCCTTGAAATATAAAGATTAGACACGCCTTTGCACATAAAATGGGAAACTCTTTTGAGCTGTATAATTTTATCTTCTCGAGCCTGCAGAGAGAGAAGCAAGCTGCGATCGAAGTTTCTGGAGATTGAAGTAGATGCAAGCGTCTGTTGCCAACGACCGTTTCATCGCCAGATCGAAGTCCTCGAACAAGAAAAGGACATAAAACATCAGGCGACAGTTCCATTGCTGAAAAGTTTAGCGACAACATCTCTGCAATTTGGTCGTCGATGATGCTCTTTAACGGCGAAACAACAATAATACTGGTTCTTGTAGACGAGAAATCTTGTCTGCGAACGCAAACATGGTAAAAATCATGCTTTTACCAAAGCCTGTCGCCGGGGCAAAACACCCATCACATCTCTCCCATGAAGCAAATTGTTTATGGATGTTTCTTGCTCATGTTTTAAGACTTAACAATTTCGCGGTCTTCGCGAAGAATATTCAGGCGCGATAACGCTTTCGACAACGCTTTCTCAACCATTTCCTTTTTAAGCACCGAAGATCTGCGTTGTAATCATATCAGTGTTGTTCCTTGGAGCTGTTACTTCGGAGATTATCGAAAATTTTGATTGACGTGTTAGCCTTCTGATCGAATAGCAATGGCCAGTACGCCAGCCTACGAGACTAACAAAACAATGTCGGTAATCCGGGCAGGCGGTTTCTCAGTTGTCTCTCTTCCCCTTCGCCGCTAGTTTCTGCAAGTTCGCCGCTTTCTTAGTGCGCTCAAACTGCTTATATATTAAGCCGCCAAGCTCCGCAGGCTAGTCCTGTGAGGCAAAAAAACTTGGAGATTGCCTGGAATATTTTAGGAGTTGAAAAAGCTGCTAGGAAAATTAACAAAAAGTTTATGGGATGTTCGAACGACCGACTGCTCATTTGCATAATCTGATCTCTGCTATAACTCACACTGACTGCGATACACACTGCGCTATCACTCGTTAAAATGTTAATCATTCTCTGATTCTGGGACAGTTTACACAAGAACGGGTCTTTTCGCTACGCACGCTTAAGGAGCGAGGTATACATGCAACTGTAAGCTTGCTTCCTTCGCCTTTTATCCAATTGCACTTGCCTGTGGATTTAAGTGCTAACTTTTTTGCGATAATCAATTATACTAATCAACTATGGATTTTGTTGTGAGATACCAGTAGAGACAAGCATCCCTTTAACGGTGTAGTTATACGTCATTCGAAGTCACAAAACACAGTATTCCTCGGAGAGTATCCGAAGTCAACGTTCCCACGCGTGTTTACAGCCCGTTTGCATTTTTAGTATTTTCCTGTCAAATTCCAGTATAAATTCGGCAAAAAGAAGCACTTGAGACATTTCTTGCATATATTTTCAGAGCTACATTTTGTGGCATTCTCGCGATATCGATAAAACGCGGGCAGAAGAAGATTCAACTCAGCTCGAGAAAGCTACTCAGAAAGTCGTTTAAAATCCAGGAAGAGCTATCACTGCTGTAAGGGTTACAGCATTATACAGATTTCTATTAAAGCCCAACCGCAAAACATTCCGCCATCTTTGACAATATTAAGCAGTACAATTTGTATCACCATACGTGACGTGACTGAGAAAAGGATAACCGCAGCCCTTGCCAACGTCTAGGTTAAAGATGGCGGAGTGGTCGGCGGAGTGTTTTGTGATGGATTCTAAAAGCAATTTGTATGTTGAAACAGCAGTGATCGCTCTCCGTGGATTTCAAATGCCCTTTTGAGTAGCTTTTTCGACAAATGTTGATATTTCTCATGACGAATTAGAAAGCGGGATGGCAATGGATATTCTCTTTAAACCTCGGGTCGAAGCAACGGAACAGATGACACAAAACTGGACATTTCGCAATCCAAGAATCAACCAGAACGCAAAAAAAAAGCGTCCAAGTGACATGTGTGTACTGGTTATTTCTTGTTTCCATTCAATTTTACGCCTGAAAACATAAGTTGAGGGAACTTATGCGTTGAATCTTCTTCTGCCGCATTTTTTCGATATCGTGAGAATGCCACAAAATGTAGCTCTGAAAATATATGCAAGAAATGTCTCAAGTGCTTCTTTTCGCCGAATTTATACTGGGAATTGATAGGAAAATACTAAGGTAGATATTTCTTGTTGATTTCGAGTTAGGTTAAGACAGAAAAATGGCTTTTGTGTTTTAGTAGATGTTCATGAGATGGCCAAAAATCGTAAAGTCCTACGTAAACAGTATGCCAGCACAGAAAAAATATTGAAGTCCCCAAACATTTTATGGCTTTTTTTGAGAACTTTAGTAATTGCTCTCACTATCTATGTTAGAATAATGTGTATTTGCTGTTGCTCCGAGCAGATATTTGCCATTAATTAAAGGCTATTCACAACACTAAGAAATATGCACCTTACTTAAGATGGGGCCACGGAGAAAGCTCAAATTGTCTAGTTCAAATGAATATCTCTGCTTTGAGACTGATAACAAGAGAACATGAGCCAGTGGATTTCATTTTCACATGGCCTTTCTTGTTGTAGAAATACTAAATCAAAGACAGCTAATTAAATATGCATAAATTATTGACTATTTTCAGCGGAGGTCCTCCTAACTTGAAGGGAATAAAATATTTTGACCTAAGTTTTTGCCATAATCATTTACTCGCCAAACCCAACATTTGTGCCAAGTTTGAGCGAAATCGGTGATTTGAACTGTATCACATCCTGCCTGGTTTTTTCATGGACACACTCTTAAAAACTTGTGATGCTACAGGAAATAAGTAAGACGACATTTCTCCAACTTTTAGGTCTCTGCGTTTTCCCAAAATTCAGATATTCGTCGAAATGTTTCGCAGAAATTTAGAGAGCCCAGTATGGAAACGCTATGTTGGTGTGTACTAGGCCTCCGAGGTACTCCAATATGGCGGCCAGAAAATAGCGTAACCATCTGGAGCTTACTTTGGCTATCTAGGCGACTGATCATCTGTACTGAACAACTAAGCTTTCACATGAGCACTTTTCCTACTGCTCTAACTTCTAAAATGGCTAAAATTCATGAGAGAAGTATATATTTTTCGACAAACCCGATCGTAGCGTTGTGACGTATTGCCATAACTCGGCTCTGAAATTCAAAATGCGTTGGTTTCCAAACAAAGGACACGATTGAGCTGTAAAATTGTCAACAGATCTTAATTTACTGCCTCTTATGCCTGATGAGGATAAAAACTTCGGTGGCTCTTTAGTTTTGGATTTTAGAAAATGATAATGTTACGTGAAAGATCTTTATTTCACCAAAATTTGTTTGCCTAAAGTTTGGCCTTGACCATAGACTTGCATCGAGAACGACAAAACAAAATTACAATCTACAAATTGCAAATAAAACCTGATATGATAAAGGGAAGATAACTTACCTTGTTTGACGGGAGAAACGAAAAGTAGCGCGTATATGTTAGTACAGCACTAAGGGAAGCCTTTCCAAAGCGTTCCTTCAAAATATATTAAAATCGAAAGTAACACGGCATGACGTCATACAAAGAGTGCAACATCAGCAAATACAACAATTAGATTAAAAATGGCATATTTCCCTCTCTTTCTTGCGCCATAGGAAACTTAAGCTTCGAATAGTATTTGTTAGATTTATAAGGAAAGAATACAGAAGACTCAACAATTTATGGTGTAGCGAAATTGTTCGTTTAATACCTTCTTTTAAATTCATCTTTTAGTTTCCACCACATAAAGTTACCCCGGCATTGTTTTTAATCAAAGACGATTGTGAGGCAGGAACAGACGCAGACCGGAAGTTTACGTTCTTGCTTTTGGCAAGTTTTCTCTCCCACTTCACTGAGTTTCGAGACTGCCATTGTACCATTTATGATAAGTTTAGCGAAAAGCCGATCATACACGCCAAAGGAAGAAAATTCGACTTTCAGCTGACAATACAATACAGTACTGGTTTATTCATCACGAATAAAGCAGTATTGTATTGTGTTGTATTGCATTGTATTGTCGGTCTCTGTTTGTGCTTAAGCTAACTAAAGCTCCCCAAAAGAGTTCGTTGTACTGTGACAAGGAAGCCGAAACTTTGCAAACCGTTCTTGTTTCAGGGTGACGGTCAAAAACAAGATTATAACCTACAAATTACAAGTAAAGTTTGACAATAAAAGGTAGAGAATTTAGCTTGTTTGAAAGCACATTTCCTATTTCCAATTGCCCATAATGCACTGTGTTTCCCCCAGATTTTGCGTAAAGTATTTTTGTGAAATAATGCTTGGTTAATGCTTCATTTGCGACTGATGAAGGGGTTTATCCCAAAACGTCTCTAAAGATGCCACAT